TTATTATTCTAACTTCAAGCCCGCTGTGTCTTGATATAGCTGGGTATAAATAAAAGTCATCCGATGGAAATTCGATCTGAAATTGACTGTGAATCATGTGTCAAACAGCTTGAGTATCCTTTTGGATACCTGCTTGAATATTGAGATAACACCGTATTGCATATTTGCATTTTTAACGTATATTGGATTTGGATAGGGTAAATATGCGCTTTAACTGCGTCCATTGTAGCAAGCCTGCATGCATTTTTATCTATAATGCATCGATCAGATTCATCATGGACAAGATTTTATTCGATTCTCCAGTTTACAAAGTGTAACGTTTTTTGTTAGTTGTGATGATATTTGGTGAGGTAAAAGCTCGACAATGCTTAAAGTGTGAATCATAGCTAGAATTATGGTGCAAAATAATATAAAAATTAAAAAAGCAATTTGAGCTGTTGAACTTTTGAATAATGAAAAATAAATATCAAAGAGATTAATTATGAATCAAAACTTTGCTATCAAAATTATTTCTAATATATGATGAAACTTTTAATTAGCAGTACAACCATACAGCTCCACTCGAAGTGCAATGTAAAGATGCCATTCCAGAGCCACAAACCGAATAGCGCTCGTTTTGATTGGTGATGGAAGCTTGTTAGTAACAACTGATTTCTTGTCGACGTTGCCTTTAAACTCCTGGAATAAATATCATAAATAAGTGCAACGTGTTTATTTGACGTTTTACGGTCATTAAATAGTATTTAGCTTCTAATTAACTCTTAAGACTTAGGCCTTAGTTCGGGAATATCATAAGATTGATGATCTGATAAAACTTCAGTCTATTTATTCACCATAAACATTTTAGCTGAATTCATTAAGCATAAAGGTTTTCTTACCCCCCATCCACCAAAAAATAAATAATATTTACCTTAACAATTCTACCATATCTGTAGGATTTCCAGATTTCACCTCTGTATTCATACTTGAGGTAATATTTAGTTACCCATTGATGGTACCGATACTCTCTTCCTTGTGTGGCGACGTGAGTGATGACATGAGAAGAAAGGAGATCGATCTGAAGGTATTCTTGTCCAGCAACGTTGTGTCCTGCTATCCAACTTCCATCAGGGACATTTGAGTACAAGCGAGCCCTTTGTGGTCCAAGTTCGTAGCGCAAAGAGGACGATGCGCTGAGTTGAGAATCTTTGATGCGACCATCTTCCATTCCCAATGCCACGCTGCAATTARCTGGTAAATTCAAAAATTTTGTTTTTGGATGGCCGAGTACWAGTTCCTAAATTCTTTGAGGACCTCACCTTTACATTTATAGTTAATACCATCTTCCTTCATTACGCAAACTCCTGCTTCTCCACATATCTGGTTGCTGCATGTTGTCATAGGATGAACGCCGTAAATCATGTAATCTCCAGTTGAGTTTGCGACAACACCCTCAGGATAKGACAGATGYGTSTCYTTGTTCAGCTGACACAAGCCCAGATCTCTGTACCAATTWATACTYTGACATGTAGAGATGTCTCCACATTTTTCGATGCAGTTTATCATACGGGCATTACCGTAATATGACTGCGTCACGCTAGTTAGAAGCACTTGWCCAGGTGGTATCYTGATGCCTCCKATTTGAAATAAAWCCCCCGTTGCTAATTTCCCTAGGAATAACTGAAATAATGCTACCATGATGRAGACATTGACGATGTTCTGAAAGAGATATTGGAATATACATACGTGGTGTTACATAKCTGTGCATAATTAAAAAGAAAAAAAGAAATTCGACTCCTTTTTGGTGGTGCCAGATGCCGTGTGCTAAGAATAATAAAGTGTCTCACTGAAATATATATCCTATATCCTAAGTTCCTCTTGATTAAAATAGCTTTGTGAGCAATTAAAGATAATGCTATGAGCTTCTCATTTATATCAATAGAGGTCATGCAGCATTTTTTTATTACGTACACTTAAAAACAGAATTCACCATTTCTAATTCACTATTTGAAAGAATCCTAACTTCGACATTTTCCCATAATATAGTAGCAATTTGTAGAAATAAATATATATATATTTTTTAGTTCAGATGCAATTAACCCCATTCCATGGACGTTTTACAGTTGTAATGACATAAATACAACAACAAAGTCATTTGCATGTTTCATACATTTACATTTCTTTTTAAAAATATTCGTTATAAAGTTCCAAAATGTCTCTACAATGCTATAGAACATTTCATTCGCTATTTGACAACGACAAAGCAACATGATTGTATTTATGCTTTTACAACTCTTTTTAAAACGTTTACATAAAGTTCCGAAACGTCACTGCAATGCCAATAAGAATTAATTCGCTATTTAAAATTACAATTTTTTTTTCTGCTTATATTCAAAAATTTTTTTAAGGAGATGAATTTGTGTTTTCCTTTATATCTTTTTACAAGTGAACAAACGTTAATTAGATTGAATTTCAAATGGAATTAACGGCACATACATA